ATTGAGAAGAAGGACTAGACAGATGGGAAAGATGGTTTTCCAAATGGGTACCTAAGACTTCAAGGCACGACATACTTCGCGGCAGCCCACACCAACGAAGGGGATTTTCTTTGGGAACACTAACCGGAGCCTTTGACTCAAAAGTCTGATCCACAAGGCGGTGGGGCGTGAATCCAACGCGGGAGCGTGAACGAAGCACCCGTGTGGGAGCTTCTAGAGACCTTTGAATTTCGATTATTTGTTGTTCATTGGTGCTTTGATTGTCGATTCGCTTTTCGGGATCAGCCCTCAGCCTGGTGCACCCAATGAGACAAGGGGAACGGGGACGGGACAGCACCTTATTGGCTGGGGACTGCCCAGCTTGGGCGGGCGGTAGCTGTCCAATGAAGTGCGAAGACTTCTCCCACCATCGAGAGGAAGCCTCAGATACCCCGCTCCTACGTCCATCTAACGGTTTTTTTGACCGGTAAACTACCCATCACCTTGTTTATTTACTGGAGTGGCCTCTCCAGGGGCGTGTGGATAGAAGAAAGAAGCCAGGTGCCCAAGCAGCTGGCTTTGTGAGACTGAGGTTCGTCTGGCCTCTACCCGTTGATCTCTCAGGCGCGATTGGATCTACGGCTGTGAAAAGCCTTCCTGTGTAGCTTTCAGGGCCATGGAGGCACGCAAGCCATCACACCACGTCAAGGTGCAGTCTCGTCGTGATGGGAAAAAAAACTCCAAGTCTTGAAACGCCACAAGGCGGCTGGATCAAATGGCCTGCCACCTGCTCTCTTTAAAGATGGTGGAGAAGCTTTCGTAAGAAAACTTGTGAGACTGTTCTCGAAGATCTGGGAAACTGAAAGTGTATCCCAAACATGGAGAGGATCGATTGTCACATCCATCTACAAGAAGGGCTGCCGCAACGTCTGTTCCAATCACAGGGCCATATGTCTGATTCCAATAGCGCCGAAGCTGCTGGCGTCCGTTTTATTACGCAGGTTAAGCCCATTTCGTGAGAAGCAAATCCGCGAGGAGCAGGTCGGGTTTCTTATTGTGCATTCCCAACTGTTGTCTATCTTATTTTCACTTACGGCTTCAGGTTGGAATAAACCACTTGGTTACTTGGAGACATTGGAGGATATGGTAACTAAACGACAACAGTGGTGTTCTTGTTGTCATTTCTTATCAGACAAGAATGCTTGAAAAGGTATGTATGCACAGTTAGATTGTGTACTCTGTGTGTTGAGCATAGAGATTTCGCTTTCTTTGCCTCCACATTAGGCCCCAACCCTATGCATCTTATTCTTTTCACTTAATTTATGTACATTGTGAGCTTGGCAGTGATAAACGAAGTTCACTTCTCTGTGTCTCGCTGTACACTGATGATGGTGGTGAATTCTATTTGCTTTTTCAGTTTGAATTTGTTGTACAATGCGCGGAAGGTATTATCAGAATATTGAACAGCCGGAAACGGACAATCATTCATTGATCAAGGTGACACACTATACCCCCAATTTCAACGATTCATTCATGTTCAGCGGATCCAGGAGACAAGTGTTGTGCTGAGTGATCTAGATGGTCTGTTGGTCAATTCGGAGAACTTTAATCAGGTGCGTTTTGGTATTCTTTCGGATTACAGTGCTCTGAATAGGTTTTCGTGCATCGAACAAGCAAGGCTTGGATGCGCAGCACGATCAGTCGAGTGGTGAAAAGTGATTTACATCTGCGAAAGTTTCTTCAAGTGCTCGTTAGTTTTATAACTTCTGAACGGCATCCCGAATGGGCTCGACACGCTCTGGTCTGGCTCCGTTTTCTTCTCTCAAATTATCCAATCCCCAATTCCACGTGGTCTAACCTACGGCGTGTGATGGCTCCACTCCGGAGTCATGCCAATGAAATGGCTGGTTTGCATGATTCTTATGTTCGTGCAGCCCTTCGAGGAACCGCCGTGGAACAGTGGTTTACACAAAAAAAGGTGGAGAATGAGGAAACCAATCGGGAAAGATTATTTTACGACACAATTAATGGGATCCCCTCGACTGGTTTCGTGTTTGTAGATGGTAAGCGAGTTTCAGCTGATAAATTGCAATGGTCTTTTGTTTTATAGTCTTCACTAATAAATGTCTTACGTAACATACCAATCACTAATAGACTGGCGTGACTGATTCCGTATCCCAGCAGCCCAACAAGCCATACAGCGTGATTTCCCCGGTTGTAGGTTCTGTCATGCCCGAAAATATCGTGCTTAGAGGCCAGACTAGTCAGTCGCTCAAGTCAAGTGAACTGAACAGCTGGTGATCGTTGTTTTAACCCGTGGTGAGCNTGAGCTAGAATGATTGAGCGACGAACGAGAGAGACAGAAAACAGAGAGCCGGAAACGAGGCTTTAATCTTCTAACAATGTAGGTACATCGACTACAATAGAAAGATGGAAAATCTATATTATCAGTAAACATTGATGCCGTGGTATAAAGAACCAAAGTATAACAAATCATAACATTCTTCCGCGCTGAGTGAAATGTCTGTGAATCAGTACGTTTTTCAAACCTCGCTACTTCGAAGGTTGTATGGGTGAGCACACTGTTGGTCTCTTATGAGCTGTTGAATGTGATCCGTAGCATCAGACTGGATTTCTGATTATGGAGCTTCGTTTTCTAGCTGAACCACCGAAGGTGTGGACTGTCCTTCCGTGAGCTGCACATGCTGATTTTCTGTGGTTTCATGAGTGTTCTTCGATGCAGACGCTTTCGGAGCAAGCGGCTTCAGTAATAGTTTCCTCTTTTCCATTCGGGGCGCTCACGTGAACATATTATGGGTTGCAGATAGCGCAGGGTTCTTTTTCGATCGTTGAGTGGTAGAGCTCACTAGGGCACAAGGTACGTGAGGAGAAAACCACCGGACGTCCGCCTGATTGAGTGTTGCCGCTATTGCGACGTCGGACGCGTCGGTTTCAACTATTAGTGGGCAATTGTAATCAACGGTAAAAATAGCGGCCTTTTCTGGCTCTTTCTTCAACTCTTCGAAAGAGGACTTGACGTTGTCCGGAATGGGAAAGGTGTGGTTATGCACTAATGAGTGAATTTTGTCGGAGAAGTGTGGGATCCAATGGGCACAACACGCCAACATCCCCACCACTTGTCTTTGCAAAGCGATGTCCTTCGGGGGAGGTAGTTCCCTGAAGGCTGAGAATCTTTCGGGGTTTGGCTTGACTAAGCCTTTGAAAACTTCGTACTCGAGAAGAAGAACTTTGTTAGCTCCAATTACACTCTTGTGCTCATTGAACGCTGTACCATGTTTCTTGACTTCGTCCATGAGGTTGCGGAAGTTTCTATCATGCTCTTTGGGGGTCACGACCGTGCACTGTAACGTTGTCCACGTACGTGAATGTATCTTGTAGATTTTCTTTATGGATGATATTATCTATCGTACGTTGAAAGCAGGCCACTCCGTTCGTAACCTCGAATGGAATGCGGCAGAACTGATACAACTTACCACAAGCCTCGAATGCCGTACATGGCTTTTCCTCTTCTGGAATGGGAATTTGGCGATAGGCACTTTGCAGATCAAATGTACTGAACACTGAATACTGAGTCACCTTTTCCACAAGTTCATCCACTCGTGGCGGAGGATAAACATCCAGATAAGTGAAACGGTTTACCGTTTGGCTGTATTCAATTTCTATCCATTTCTTATGTCTCGTTGGTTGTTGCAAGAACCTGTGCCGCCAAGGGGATGTGGACGGCTCTATGATCTTGGTTAACAATAGTTGTTTGAATTCGGCTTTAATAAATTCGTGATCGGAAACTGAGTGACAGCGCGATTTCGTAGCAATTGGTGCATAATTTGGCGCTAGATTTGTAAACAAATGAGGAATGTCTACTTTTGCTGCATTGATGGTACATACAGAGAAAGGTAGACGATTGCCATTAAAAAGAATGATGATATTCGGATGTTGACCGAGGAAATCTAAACCGAGAATGACGTCTGTGCATAAATCTTTTAAAACTGAAAGTTTTACCCTATTGTTGTGTGTTTTTATTGAATAGAAGCGTACACGTGCCCTTGGGTAACACAGGTCAGATGGATGGAAGCTATTGATATAGTAAGTTTGGATGACTCTACAGGCCATCGATGCCTAGCAGCAATGTTGGTGCACAGATAGCTATCGCAACTGCCGGTATCGATTAGCGCGTTCACAGTTATTCCATTGGTTGATTTGATTATTCCATTTATTTGAATCGTTACCGTGGAATTGGAGAGATCGACGAATGATGATCCTGCAACAATGGACGAAATGGTTGGATTCAACACAGATAATGTACGTCTGAGATAAATGTTGGAATTGGATCGACAAACATTTTGGAAATGCCCTTTCTATCCACAAGAATTACATGTGGCTTCTCGAGCTGGACATTTTGAACAAGGATGTCGATTACTTCCGCAGAAAAGGCATTTAGCGAAAACCACTGCAACTAGGCTTTTGATCTCTTGTTGTGAATCAGAAACTCCAGGACGTTGTATTGAAATGGTGGAATCTGTCTGGTTGGTCGTGGAACTGCAGGGTTCATGTAAGACTGAATCGTCAGTGAGCGACTGCTGCTGTGCATTCTCCAAAGTACGAGCCTCGTTAAAAGCACACTGTAAACTTGGGGGTTGCTTCTCAAGAAGCCTCTGGCGAATATCGTTGGAAAGCGTTCCCGTAATGAAAACATTACGGATAGCTTCTTCGCAATGTTTTTCGGCGGTAACTGCGACAAAGTTGCAATCTTTTGCGAGAACTCTGAGTTTGTGTAAACTTATGAATCGTTTGTCCTTGTTCTTGTTTTACTGTTACCAGTAGATGTCGTGCGAACACTTCGTTCTTTGGTTTAACGTACAGCCCGTCAAGGGTTTGGATAGCATCTTCATAATCGAGACAGTCGATTATGTGTTGGTAAACGGACGGCGATATGAAATTCACCAGCAACTTTTTTTATCTATGTTGGGTAGGTCGACAGTAGATATGAAGTTACGGAATGTTTTATGCCAATGAATCCACTNGTTCGGAAGCGGGTGTAGAATGTGGATCGGTATCAAATCGCTCCGGACGAAATAAGCTATCTATCGTTGTTAGGAGATTAAATTGTGATGAGCTCGAATGATTGAGCGACGAACGAGAGAGAGAAAACAGAGAGTCGGAAACGATGTAGGTACATCGACTACAATAGAAAGATAGAAAATCTACATTATAAGTAAACATTGATGCCGTGGTATAAAGATCCAAAGTATAACAAAATCACAGCATAACCATTTGCTTTCATCCGGGGAAACGGTGAATCCGCTTACCAGCAAAAAACTGCTTAATGGACATTGGAATTGGTTATATGTGGGAAAAGGTCAAGGGTGGTCAAACGAAGACCTGGCGTAAGGGTATGGAAACCCTAACCAGGAGACTAGGTCACATAGGCCCCGTTAGGCTCCCTGGCTTGGATGATGGTCACCGATGGTTAGCTACACTGAGTGATATGGCTGGGTGTCGCAAACAGTATTCACCGATGGTTAGAGACACTGAGTGATATGGCTAGGTGTCGCAAACAGTGGCGCTCGTGCATCCACTCATTATTCCCCAACACCATTCTATATGAATTCTCTATCTTCCGCTTGAATTTGCTTTCAACATTCTAATCTTCATTCTACTCTTTTATCTAAATGGGGCACCAAAAGACAGCAATCAAAACCGGCACACGAAAGTGCATAGTTAATGGTTGTGAAAACTAAAACTGAAACTCCTTCGTAGATGTTGACTACTTGGAAGTATGTCATTCCTTAAAGTCTCAGATACCTCTTCCGACAACTCTCCTCTACCTAGCATCTGCGTTCACACGCAAATTATACAAAATGCCTCCTGTTTCTGCCATTTAGAGTTCAAATAGTAAATCAAACCAACCATAAGTTAATAGGTTGATCAAACCAAAATCTTCTCTTCACTTGGTCACATTTTATGTCCGCACATTTTATTACTCTATCAGCCAGAACCCTTGAAATTTTCCACTTAGACTTATACTGTCTCCGAACCGTGTATACTATCATTACGTTATTCACATCCCACCTCATCCTTCAGTTTTGCCTTCTGTGTCAGATGGTCACAATTATGCCTGCATTAAGATTGTGTTGGGTGTCACGGTTGAGCGTTTGCTTCTTTCTCTGTTCCTATCAACAGTTGCAGAAGAAGGCATCAGTGTTTATTCGCCGTGTCCGTTTGTGCACCGACAGATTACGGTGCACCTCAAATGAAAGGTGATTTCTACAATGATCTCTCAACCACCCACACCCCTCAACGGTCATCAGAGTAGTCACTTACAGCTTAAACGCTCAAGTGAGATCGCATCAGACGCATCAGGAAGATCCTTAGGCGATTCACAGACCATCCAGACCAACCGGACGGATAACAGCGGTAGAAACTTCCACTTTGCGCTGATTACTGGTTGTTTCTATCACACGCCATCTCTTCCCATATGAAACAACATCGTCTTACGTGGTAACCCCCTACCCCTTCACAGCGTTTTTTTTAAATTACACACCTTAGTGTGATGAACAGCAGACGGGAAAGCTTTATAGTCACGAGGACCTGTTGTTCATTGATGGGAAACGGTAATCTAAGCCCTGAGGCTTCCATTGACTAATCACGTAAGGCCCCGTTAGGTTAGGCGTGGTATTGAACCGGACGAAAGCAAAGCTGCCTACCACCGAAGTTGGGTGGTGGTGGCGAGATTCGAACCTCGAACCATAGGGTCCAAATCACGGCGGTGATGAGGACCAAACCATTGCGCCACCACCACCCGAATTAAGTTGATCAATATGCTATCAGCTGCCGCTGGCGATCTCACAGTTGTCCAATGAATCGGTGGATTTCAGTCATTTGGAAGGAATTAGGAACACCCCAAATCACCACACATTGTTGACCTCAAGGGATTCAATCAACTTTGAAGTAAGGCGTCGCATATAATGATTCGATGACGAATTCCTTGTCCTATCGAATTCAGATTAGCCGGCTTCGCTAGGACACGTATTGCGCATACCCAGTCATTGTTTACCGCACCGCGTCCTATTCGTAGTTGCGGCTCCAAGTTGGAAGAAACCGCGTGGAGGTCAACGGATGACGTGGAAACGAGGCCTGAATAAATGCACAGAGCGATTAGATGGAGTAAGTATCTCTCGTCTTCCAGTTTGGGGTCCGAAAGACCCGGTAACTGGTTCGTAGGAGACACTGTAGGATACGGCAGCAAACCGATACCAGTAGCTTTCTTATCATTTTTTATCAAGTCAGAATGCTTGTAAAGGTATGCATGCACACCTGTGTACTCTGTATGTTGACCATAGAGGTTCACTTTCTCACTTAATTTGTGTATATTGTGAGTGTGGCAGCGATCAATGAAGTTCGCTCCATTGTATCTCGCTGTTCGATGATCATGATCATGACTCAATCAACAGTACCATAGATATAGAGAAAAAATGCTTAGCACTGTTATCTGCCACCACCGTACCCGCTCAAACTTTGCTTGCCGTCCAAGCATTCGAGACCATTATCACAGATTAGTTTGATTGTAATCCGCTCCAAGAAATTTCGCCCGTCCTACTCAAAACGTCAACTAAGCATAAAACTTTTTCGATAGCACTTTTGTCGAGTATCACACCTTTACAAGGTAAGCCTCCTACCTGTGTTTCCAATAGACAAGCTTACTGTATTATTCACTTGTATCCGTACACGGAGTATAGTCAATTACTAGGACTGCGAATTGCGGTCCATGTAAAAGCTACTAAATTGATATAGTCCGATCTTGTCCGATTTCATGAGGAGTTCTATCGGAAGAGGGAGGAGGCATTGTCCCTTTGGTAATACGTATGAAAGCGTTAAACATCATCCCAGTTGCACTGTCCGCGGATAGTTTATTTATATATTTTCCAGTGCAAAATCTCGCTGACGTTCAGGGTTGACTGGTAGTTGGATGGGTTGTACTTTGTCCCGCGAAAATGTTAGAAAAGAGTCGGGGTTTGCAGATTTTTGGGATTCCAAATAGGACAGACAGAAATACTGTTTCGTTGTAATCGGGTGTTTGATATGTATGTACATGTTGCAACCGTTGGAGCTTGGGTTTGACGCGCTTCCTTATATGGAATCGATTCGGTAATTTATCTTTATCCAGGTGAGCAGCAGCTGAAAAACAAATCTGCTGCTTCATGCATCATTTTAACACACCCCATCCATCGGTGGTCGGGACCGTGTAATTTGAGTTATACATGTTGTAACTGCACTGGATTCTCAAAGGATCGTCTTCCGGTAACGTTTGTCGCACAGATCAAAACTCCCCAGGCAAAGAAATAAAACACAACTGGAAGCATGCATGTACTCATTGGTTATGCCAAAATGATGGTTCTTTATAAGAGAGACAAAGAGGACAGGGGAATGCATATGTCAAACGATTGGTTGCCTGAGTTGCTGCAAACGATCTTGATTGGCTGGCGGTTCCGGCCAATTACCTGAGTTCGTTGATCCTTTTTCTGATTGGTTGTCCCAGAAAAAACAGTTTTCAGAAAGCATGCTATCTCCCTGACTGTACAAACTGGATTGGTTGTACGTAACGCGAGGTTGTTTATCCTTATCTCGTTTTCACTCAGCCGAAGCAACAGTTAGATAGATTGATTGGGTAGATTGTCAACAGGTTTAATGGCCTCCGAAAGCCTCGATATGGTCGGAGGTGGGTGTCGGGGGTTATGACTGGCCATCCCTCCCTCTAATCACTGCCTTCTCGCGGCTGAGGCGTTTTCCCATCAAAGTGAGAGGAGGTAAGCCAGTATCCGGGGCTACAACCGGGTTGGTGAACCACAATTGGCAGTTCACTTGGGAGAGTTGGCTAAAATCTGTAATTACAAACCAACCAAGAGGGGGAATAGGAACTATGCATACACCTTTCTGACCGTGGCAGTGATTGCCGGCTCGATTGGGCATGGAGGAGTATTGATCCAAGAAGTGTGTGATCCGATGAACCGGACACCGGCCCCCAATGGATTGCGACTTTCTCACACCGCCCCGTTGCCTTGCGGGTCAGGCTTTGGTTAGCGGAAGGCTACTGTTGTGAAATCCCTAAGAAATCACCTGCTTTGCCCTGGGAAACCTAGTAGTATCATGTCCTCAAGTAAATCAGGAACTTTTTTCTTTTCATAAGGCTTATTGTATCGTGATTTGTTTGGCACAGTCTGGATTCAGAGGTTGGGGTCCGAAAGACTCTACAACTGGTTGGCTGGAGACATTAAAGGATATGGCGACTAACTGACAGCAGTGGCGCTCTTGTTGTCGTTTCTTAACAAGTCAGAATGTTTGAAAAAAGGTATGCATGAACACTTAGATTGTGTGCTCTGTGTGTTGAACATAGAAGTTATTTTTCTTTGCCTCCCTCGAAGTAGGCCCAATCCCTCCATCTTTTGCTTTATCATTTGATTTGTGTACATTGTGAGCGATCAGTGAAGCTCGCTTCACTGTATCTCGCTGTAAGATGATGATGATGTAATGATCAGATCTAAATCCGTTCTTTCGCACGGTGGCCGAATGGGACAGAGATGTAAACCTAGAAGTTAAGTAACAATGTGGAACTGACGAATTGTATTTCTAAACTTGCAGTGATTAACCATTGTGATTTAAAGTATTGCCGGCAGCCAATATAGTGTATGCTCATAGTTTGTCAGTCATCATCTGTGGATTTGTAGTCTATTTTCATGTTTTTCTCCCGTGGACGCGGTTTCTAATCCTGTTGTCCATGTGATTACTCCCTTATTCTTCAGCATCAGTTAACAACCCTCACCCCAAATCCTTTCCTGACTTGTCTTCTCGTCCGAATCGTAGAACCGTTGCTTGGCCCTGACTAAGCTGACAAAGAAAGATGATTCATTATCCCAATGGACCTTGCTCCCATCGCCTTTTTTCGTGGAATATAAGCACGGTCTAGTTGTGCTGCTCAGCGCACAGATTGGTAGCAAAGCTGAAAACATTTACGAAGGTCAAATAGCTGTGGGAGGGCTTTGTAATCCGTCTTAACTGCCCCCTTGTTGTTTGTGTGTGTATGTACGTATGCTTACTGGTCCAGTGACTGTTCATAGTCCGTCTCTCTGTTTTATTTTCAAGATTCCGATGAGGAATCGTCAGGGAAACACTCCTCACGCTCGGGGTTACCACGCCAGCCTACGAACACTCCAGCTAAAGGTATAGGACTACACGGGACTGATTCCCTGACAGCCACCGACGAAACCATGGAGAAGAACAACGAAGATGAT